AGTTGAATAGAATTTTAGAAAAGTTAGATATGATAGACCTGTGGAGAAAACTGAATGGAGAAAGAAAAGAATATACCTCTTTCTAAGCAGTATATAGCACTTATACAAAAATTGACCAAGTATTAGAGCATAAAAACCTCATGTTCAAATGTAGAAAAGCAAAAATATTAAATGTATCCTTTTCAGATTGCAATGTAATAAAAATTACATTCAATCAAGGGCAGTGGGAAAGATAGATTAAAATTAATTGCAAATGAAATAATCTTGAAGAATGGGTCACATAGCAAATTATAGAAACAATAATTTCAAAAAAGATAATGACAACAATGAGATAGTGTAAGAAAGATTTTAGGGGGTTAGGCTTCCACAGCAGGATAAGAAATTCCAAGATCTTGTGGAGAGTCCCTCAACCTTAAGAAAGAGCCCTAGAGGCTAAACAGGTTGCAACCAGCCGGGTTCAAGGACAGAGCTTCTACCTGGCACAGGCTTTTCTCCCCTGTGCTTGCTTAATAAGCTTATTGAATATGAACAGACACACCCCAAGGGTGGAGATAGCCACCATTTTTGAACATGGGACCCATGAAGTGGGTGGAGTTAATAGAATGTGGACGAACATGCGATGGGCTGTCCAGGAAGGGTGTAAGTTAGATGAACTAGACCAATAGGAGCCCTGATGGGTGGAATATGGATCTTACTAACGGTTTAAAAGTTGATTCTACCACTGAACCAGTGCCATGTGCTACAAAAGTGCGTGGTGTCCGCTTCTCTCTTGAGAAGTGTAATATATGATTTTTCACTCAGTTCAAGCTTAGTTTTGTTTTTACCTAGAAGGCTTCATTTCTATAAGGCCTTATTTCTAACAGATAGCAAACCAAAATTTATGGGGAAAATTTATATCTTTAAATGCTTATATCAATAAAACAGAGAAAGAGCCGATCAATGAACTGGGCATACAACTAAAAAAAAACTAGAAAAAGAACAAATTAAAAATCCCCAATTAAACAGCAAATTGGAAATCCTGAAAATCAAAGGAGAGATTAATAAAATTGAAAGAAAACATTAAACTAATAAATAAAACTAAGAGCTGGTTTTATGAGAAAAAAACCCACTAAGATAGATAAACCATTGGTTAATTGGATTAAAAAAAGAAGAAAACCAAATTACCAGTATCAAAAATAAAAAGGGAGAATTCACCACCAATGAAGAGGAAATTAAAGCAATTATGAGAAACTATTTTGCCTAATTATATGCCAATAAATCTGACAATCTAAGTGCAATTGGTAAAAATTTACAAAAACATAAATTGCTCAGATTAACAGAAGAAGAAACAGAATACTTAAATAACCCCATCTTAGTGTGTGGGACAAGTGAAAGTTTCTCATATGAAATGGAAGCTATACCCCCAAAATTTAGTTAAGGCTTTAGCACTAGCTGGGCCTAAGTTTCGTTTTCCTGTAAATCATATAATAGAGTCACACGCCAGCTGCCCACCCCCTCCCTTGTTTTGTAACCATCACCCCCAGCCTTATCCTTACCAGATAAGGCAACCTTCTAGCTTCCAAGCTTGGTTTGGGTAAAATGTATATCTTGGGCTCTAAATATAGATTGTAAGGTCTCTTGCCTCAACCAATGAGGATACAGAGATTGAGGTAAACAAATGGGGAGGGGGGGGGTTCTTCTGGTTGCTTGCTGTTGTATCTTGCCTCACTACTCCAGTCTGCCCTGGGTAGGTGATGCCCAACTCTCACTTGAGACTTGCTAGAATAAAACGTCTGTTTTCTACTGAGAGAAACCTCTGAATTTTTATTTGGGTAGGTGGTCTCAATCCCACTCATTAGAAAAAATAAATTGAACAGCCCATCAATGAACTCCCTAAGAAAAAATCCCCAGGGCCAGAGCAGTTCACAAGTGAATTCTACCAAATATTGAAAGAACAATTAATTCCAATACTATACTATACTATTTGGAAAAATAGTGGGAGTCCTACTAGATTCCTTTTATGACACAAATATGGTGCTGATACCTAAACCAGGAGGAGCTAAAACAGAAGAAACTACAGACCAATTTCCCTAATGAATACTGATGCAAAAGTTTTATATAAAATACTAGCAAAGAGATTACAGCAATATATCACTATGAATAGGTGAGATTTATACCAGGAATGCAGGGCTGGTTCAATATTAGGAAAGCTATCAGCATAATTGACCATATCAATAACAAAATCAACAGAAATCATATAATTATCTCAACAGATGCAGAAAAAGCTTTTGACAAATACAGCACCCATTCCTATTAAAAAACATTAGAGAGCATAGGAATAAATGAAGTTTTACTTAAAATAATAAATAGTATCTATCTAGAAATTGGCAACTGTAGAATTTGCAGAATGTATTCAAAGTAGGTATAACTTTTTTTTTTCCCATTGATAATAAGGAAGTATGGCAGTAGAGTCCCTGAGAATAAGTATGTGATAGTGCCAAAGCCCTGGAGCTTCAGTAATTTCACTTCAGTATTTTTTTTTCTTGCTAAGCACTGTTTTCTTTTTTTTTTTATTAATATTTTCTTTTTTCTCCAATTAAATGTAAAAACAATTTTTAACATTCATTTTTTTAAATTTTGAGGTCCTCCAAAGTCTTATCCTCCCTTCCTTCTCTCCCCACTCCTTGAGAAGGCAAGCAATTTGATAGAGGTTATACATTTGCAGTCATGCAAAACATTTCCATATTAGTCACATGGTGAAAGAAGCAGACAAAAAACAAATAAAGAAAAAATGAAGTTTAAAAAAGGATGCTTCGATTTGCATTCACACTCCGTGATATCCACCTCTAGAAAACTGGAGTCTTAATGCAGATCAAAGCATACTTTGAAAAACTTTTTTTTATTTTTCTTCTTGCTTTGTTTCTTGCTCAGGATAGCCTTTTGCACCTCAATGCACTAGTGCATTCAAATATTGCCATGTTTTTGGTCTCTGAGGAGGGAAAAGTCAAAAGGTAAACAGTTCATTATATTTCCATCTTTTCCATGTAAACTTCTTAAGCCCATCACTGTAATTTGACTCTAGCATAGTGAGGTCATTTTGGTCCTCTCCAAGATTGAAGGACAATAACCATCCAATATTTTTTTTTTTTAGTGAGGCAATCGAGGTTAAGTGACTTGCCCAAGGTCACACAGCTAGTATGTGTCAAGTGTTTGGTCTGAGGCTGGATTTGAACTCAGGTCCTCCTGACTTCAGGGCCAGTGCTCTATCCACTGCACCACCTAGCTGCCCCAATAACCATCCACTCTTAAACCGCTATGATAGAGATGATATTTTCTATCAAATACAGCATTTTATTGTTTTTCAACTCTTCCTTTCTTATATTCCTTATACTTTTCCTTTTCAGTATAGCTGTAGGAGGGTAGGAGTTATGAACTGTAATTAGGAGGGAAAGGGGAGAGAACTCCACTTTCTTCTCCTCATCAAATTCTGATTTACAGCACAAAAAGAAGCTTTTTATGGAAACCCTAATTTCGGCTGACAAGTCAACCAATAGGTAGGTGACCTTTGCAACAATGGAATGTCTCTATTAGACCTAATTACATTAAATATATTAATAATCCTCCACAAAACCCTTACTCCTACACGGCTGCCTCACCAGGGCATGGAGAAGAAACTTGGATTCTCCAAAGTTATACCAGTAAAAGCCCCAGCAGATCCTATCAATCTGCACAGGGTCTAGAGACATGACAGCGGTTGTTGGAGTTTTACCAACCTAGGGAGAACCTTACCCACCATCACCTCCTCAAGACTGCGGCTGAAAATATGAGCAGCCAGACTGAAAAGAAATTTATGAGTGCCCCAAGAAAGGCCACTCAGGCTAGTGGAAGATTAGCTTCTTAGGGTACAGATTGGGTTTTTATAGCTTTTTAGGCCTACCTACAGTACTGGAAACGAGGGAAGTGTATGTAAGCCTTAGGGGTGTAGGAGTTGGTAAAAGGTCAGGTGTGTTACTTTGGAAAATGTGGTTAGATTTGTCAGAATTCCTTGTATTGGCAGGAAATCTCTAAATGGTGGAGGCTGGTTTTAAAATAGAATAAATTTTTATATGCTGAAATTATCAATAAGCTGGTTTCCTTAATTGTCCTGGGCTTTTTAAAAATTATGTAAAGTAGAATGGAAGTGCCTTGAGGGCAGTAACTTTTTTTTAATTGAGAGTCAGACCAAGGTTATAGTCTTCCCCACCATGGAATGGTTAGCTGCCTATGCCTAAATGACAAGTCATTTAACCCCTTTAAGAGTGTCCTCTAAGACTAAATTGGAGGGAGCCACTAGATGGCATAGTAGATAGAACACCAGCCCTGGACTCTCAGACATTTGACACTTACTAGCAGTGTGACCCTGGGCAAGTCACTTCACCCCACTGCCTCCAGCAAAAAAAAAAAAAAAGACTACATGGGAGAAGAGTTGATGTTTTGGATTGGCAGAATGAGCTTTGTCACCAAGAGCTCCCTACACCAATGAAATCAAAGGTCCACCCCTAAAAATTATAATACATTTCTGGCACTGAAGAGATGTTGAATAAAAGCTTATTGAATCATAAGACTTCTATGATTACATAACTTACATAATTAAACATGATAGATAATATATAAGTATGTAAGAATACTTATGTCTAAACATATAATTAATACATAATTATAATTTTATAATCATATAATGGCCTCCTGGAGTCTTCACCAATCCTGGTCCGGTGGTTTCCTGAGTAAGGCCCAGTGTGAGGACCCGCTACTCGCAGTCATTTTTTGGATTCAAAACTTGCCCTCAAATACGGCTGACTCACTAGGCCTACTTGTAGCCCCCACATGTCCCTCCTTTGGCTCCGCCCCCTACCCAGGACACCTGAACAAGCGGAGCTGCGCAGGCGCAGGAGCTAAGGGCGGGGTCAACGCCTGTTAGCAGACCGCTGTGGTTCCTGGGCTGTTCCCGCCTTCTCTCGCGGTGCCTTCCGGAGAGGAGAACTATGCGACGGTTTGGGGAGGCCCTCTGTGCGAGCAGAGGCGTGGGCCGCGGGAGCGTCGCCCTCACTCGCCCAGGCACAGCTCTGAGCCCTCGCAGGGTGGAGAGCTCTGCCATGAGAGTTGCCTGGCCTCGGGCCCCTGTGAGTAGGGAGATGAATGGGGGTGCCCCAGAGCGACGAGGCCTCGCGGCCTCGAATGGGGAGGCGGGCCCGAGCTTCGCGCATGCGCAGTGGGTGTGCGGGAGGGCGCTTCCCGGGCCTGAGACTGTCCTCGAAGCCTCCTTCTACCTGCCCAGCCCCCAGTGTAGAGGGAGGAACTCCGGATTTGAGTTCTGGTCCCACACTGAAGAGTTACTTAGCCTCTGGGTGCACAATATCCTCGTTTGTAAAGTGAAAGGGGTTGAACTTAAGAATATAGTGCATGGGGCACCCGACTTGGATCAGGAAGACGTGAGGTTAAATGCTGCTTCTGATCCTGGGTGACTATGAGTGAATCACTTTCTCTCTCTGAGCCCCAGTTTTCTTACCTGTAAAATGAGGATAACAATACTTACATTATTTTGCGAAAGTGAGATAATCTCTGTAAAGTGTTTTGCAGACTTTCAAAGCACAATATGAATGCAAGTTTTTCTTCTGCTGCCCCCTACCAGGTGGGCAGCATTTTATGGGTAGATATCACAGAATTCCAGATTTGGAGCTAGAGAAGATCTTACTAGTCATAGAGATCAACTCTCTCATTTTGGGTTGCATGTAAAACGAGCCAGCTATGAAATTTGTCATCTGTGAATTGCTACTTATAGCTCATAGAGAATCTGATGCTTTGTGTATATCTTGATAATTGTGAAATTAATCATACTAAACAGAGTGATGTGTTATTTTTTCCACTTTGCCAGGTTTCCAAGATGGTGTCTGTTAAGGATCAGCTGATGGAGAATCTTATTAAGGAGGAGTCTCCTCCCGGCAATAAGGTCTCCATTATAGGAGCTGATGCAGTTGGCATGGCATGTGCCATCAGTATTTTAATAAGAGTAAGTGAGATCCTAGAATAAGGAAGCCAGAGTTGTAAAGCTCTAATACAAGTCTGTTTAGCCTGTGAATTAGAATTTATTCACAAATGAAAACTCAAGAAACTGGCAACTGACTATTAGAACTGTTATACAGCGTATTACATGGGTACTAGTTAAGTAGTACTTGACCACTTTGAACTTTGTTTCTTTGTGTTTTTCCTTTTTACTTCTGCAAGCTTTTTGTTTCCTGGTCTTTTCTTCTCTTTTCCTAAAAGTCTTTGGCAGACTTCAGGTTTCTAAATTGTACCTGGTTGTACCTGCCAGAATTGCGTATATCCACTGGAGAAACTTGGGACTGTATTGGTTGCTCACCTCAAGTTAGAATATAATCCTCTTTTAAGCCAGTAAATCAGTATTAAACTTGAAACTTCTTGGGCTATAGACTTCTGTTCATAGGAATAGAATATTTACATGTAATTCTTCAAGCTCTTCATATAGTGGATTCCGTTCCAGAAATTAGTCAGGACTAAAAGCGTGTAAATGTCATGTCTGGTTTAAACTATGTTGTAAAACCCAAACAGAAACTAACTGTAGGTGGTCTCTGACAGCAGCTGCTATCAACTGCTAACAGTTTTTTCTTCTCCATATGTTAAAGCCTGCTCTTCATCTCTCTCATTCTACCCTCCCACATCCCCTCATGCATCTACTCAGTTGGTATATGAATGAGGGTTAGAGCATCAGTTATTTCCTGTTTTTTGTTCACAAGCTTACTAATCGATAATATGTAATATCATTAATATTTTCGTTGCTAATTAAGACAACACATAAAAGGGGAAAGTGAGTATAAATTACAATTTTGCAATTTGCGGTCTCTGTGATTTTGAGCAAATCACTAACCATTCTGGGCCTCAGTTTCCTTATCTGTAAAATTGGGGGGTTGGACTAGGTGGTCACTTCTAGTTCAGTGGTCTGTAAGTCTCTGTATGCAGGAGTCAAAGCTCATTTCCAGTATTTAGCTATCTTATATAAGTTTTTCTCAAGGTTTTGAGAATAGTTCCTTTATTGTTGTATAACTCAAGCTTTATATAGTTTTTTGAGCAGTGAAATATCCCAACAAAGCACTCAAGTCGTGTATAAATCTCTTATAGCTGCTAGACTGAATTCTCCTTTTAAGTTTAAAGAGGCTTTATTTTAGAATAAAAATGAAATAAATTGGAGGTTTGTAATTGAAGGCTTATATATTACAGCTTATGATTAACTAGGGGTTATTGTCTTTTTCTTATTAAAGTCAGCAACATCCTGATTATAGAATCATAGACTCTTGGAAGCAACCTTAGAGGTGATCTATTAACCTCTCACTAATAAGAAGTCTCTTCTTTGGATCTGCAACATAAGACATTGGTTGCAGATGAGGGTATGTTGGGGTCTGGATCTGTGTTTTATTAATGTAGGAAACTTCTTCCAGTGATGCATAATAGCAGCTCACTTGTAATATGTAGTGTTGGAGAATTTCCTGGAGCTTGAGAGGGCTCTTAACCTGGAGTCTACAGACTTTTTGTACTCGAGCACCCATGTACACAGTACACACATACACAAGTGTATGCTTGTGTGTATGTGTATGCTTATGTGTATGTATATGAACTTTTTATGTATGTTTGTATTTCAATAGAATTAGTTTCCCTTGAAATCCCATGTATTTTATGCATTTAAAAATATTATTCTGTGAAGGTTTTACCAAACTGCCAAAGGAGGTCCATGGCAAAAAAAAAAAAAGTTAATTTTGGTTTGGATGTTGAATGACTTGCTTATGGTCACATAGTATGCTTCAGAGGAAGAACTTGAATACCAGGTCTTTTTGACTCCAAGTCCCGAGTATTGTCCAGTACAGCCCCAACTGCATAATGGTTATTGTTAGCAACCCAGGTCAGACTTATTTGGATTGTTTATGGAAGCTCTTTTTCAACACTACTCTTCCTAAAAAAAGATAATTTGAACTCTGTGTCTTCAGGTATATATTCTAAAGTCAGGTATTTCCAAGTTAACTGCTTTCTAAATTGTGAGGGAAATGAAAATGGATAGGAACTGGACCTGTGATTTCATCAGTCCAGGGAACTCTCCAGGGAGGAAAGTCCTTCTGTGAGTACAAGCTGAAACCTTCTCTGTAATCTGGTTTTAGTTTCCTAAAGCATTGAGAAGCTTAAGTGTCTTGTACAGGGTCACAGTCAGCATATATTAAATGTGGGACTTGAACTCAGGCCTTCCTGGCTTCAAGTCTGACTTTCCATCCACCATGCTACACTTTTTCTCTCAAAAGAAAGGCCCATCTGGAACTTAAATAAATGAATGAAAAGGCATTTTAAAGCACTTGCTAGAAGCAAAGCCCTGTGCTAAGTACTGGGGATACAAATAGAAGAGTGGAGACAGGGCCTTCTAATGGAGGAGACAACATATAGAGGAGTTTTCAGCTACGAGTTAGTGGAAAGGCCTGTGGATGCAATGGCAAAACATCTTCTTTAGTGTAATTTCCGCCAATAAAATTATACTATTTCTGATGTTGAACTGTTAGATAGTATCAAGAACTTTGGTGTTGATAACTTTTATCTGGGACTTCAGTACATCTGGTTCCCTAGAAAGTGAAGGCCTTAGCACCTGCCTAAGCAATTGATGGGGCTCATCTCCACAGCAGTTGTTTCTCAGGTTGATGGCAGTGGGGACTGTCCTGGAAGCAGGAACTGGGGGCCGCTGACATTCCAGGACTCTTAAGAGTTACCTGACTTTTGGTTTCATTTGGCTAGTGGTTGTTACTGGTGGTGACTCGGAACATGGGCCAGTGGGCCCACTATTCAGGCACTTGAACCAGCTAAACCATAGAACCAAGGAAATGAAAGCACGCTGTCCTTATTGTGTTCAGATGTTAAAGAAGTGACTGAAAGGAGACATTTTTTGTGGAAACAATATGGCCTGAGGGGTGATTACAAAGTGATCAGGCTGATAAGCAAGGCATGCAAATCAGTAATCTGGTATTCAGTTCATTTTAATTTAATTCAGTTTGATACACATTAGGTGCCTGCTGTCTGTAGGGCACTGTGCTGGACAGTTAGAATGCAGAGATAACTACAACATGCTTAGATATAAGGAACTTCTAATTGAATGATGGGGCTGAAGGCTGCGTGTTGTACATGCAAGGAAGAGCATTGTATTTGGAGACAGGACCTGGTTTCCACTACCTGTGTGACCTCAGACAAGCTGCTTAAATTTTCCGGGTCTTATTTTCCTCATCTTTAAAATGAGGTAATTGGAGTAGAAGACCCTTCCAGATCTGAAACTTTGATCCTGGAATCTATTAACCAGCTCAAATAGAGGGAGAAGGTGATACGGGAAGAAAGGGTCAGGAAAAGTGACGTAAGGATTATGAAGAGGTGAGATCACATTCAGCTGGAGAGGTCAGAGTAGAAAAGTTGACAGAAGAGCAGGCACATCATTTCTTATGGGGTGAAAGGAATTTTAGAGGCCATATAGTTCTACATACTAGTTTTATTCTGTTTTTTTTAAATTCAGTTTTGTTTTCAATTCTAAATTCTTTCCTTCCCTCCTGCCCCTACTCCACTCATTGAGAAGGCAAGAATACAGTGTTCATTATATATATATATATATATATATATATATATATATATATATATATATATATATATATATGAAGTCCTGCATTAGCCGTGTTTGGGGTGGGGAGGGAACAAGAAAAAGAAAGGGGAAAAAAATGCTTCAGTCTGCACTCTGGTCCCTTAGTTCTCTATATGGGGTTGGATAGCGTTTTTTATCATGAGTCCTTTGGAATAGTGGTGGAGGATTATTATATTGATCAGAGTTACTAAGTCTTTCACAGTTGATTATCTTTATAATACTGCTATCACTATGTAAATTGTTCTCCTGGTTCTGCTTGTTTCATTATGCATAAGTTGTATGTCTTCCCAGGTTTTTCTGAAACCATCCCCTTCATCTTTTTTTTTTTTTTGTCTAGGCAGTGGGGTTAAGTGACTTGCCCATGGTCACACAGCTAGGAAGTGTTATGTGTCTGAGGCTGGATTTGAACTCAGGTCCTCCAGCAGGGCCCGCGCTTTATCCACTGTGCCACCTCGCTGCCCCGCCTTCATCGTTTTTTATAGCAAAATAGTGTTCCATCACACTCATATACCATTGGTTCAGCCATTCCCCATCCTAATTTTAGTGATGAGAAAACTAGGGCTTGGGATCACAGGAAAGTTAGAGTTGAGCCTTAAAGGAAGGGAGGCTCCAAAAAAGAGCCTTAAAGGAGGAAGACAGTTGGATAGTCAAGGATATGAACATGAACAAGAGATAGAGAAGGAGAGAATTGAACTAGAACAGTGGACTGAGAAAATAGTCCAATTTGCAGTACATGTATGATGAAGCCAGTTTGGAAAGGTAAGTTGTAGACAGATGATGGAAGGTCATGTCAATGTCAGCAATTTATTTTGTAGGTAATAGGGAGCCACTGAAGGTTCTTGAGTAAAGAAATAGTGTGATCATACTAATTAATTAGGAAATCATTTGACAACCATTATGAAAGATGGATTGAAGAAGGGATAAACTGGAGACAGGAAGAACAGAATTGTATTACATGATGAGATGAGGGCCTAAACTAGGGTGAGTGCATTGGGAACAGAAGGAGAAGAGAGATCTGAAAGCAGAAAAATCACAGGATTTAGAAACTGATGCAGTGTAAGAGGGTGAAGGGAAGGAAATACTCATAGATTAATAATAACGTTTATATAGCACTTGTAAGTGTTTCAAAACACTTTTTTCAGAACAATATTGAGGTAGGTAGTGCAAATACTATTTACCCATTTTACAGATGAAGAAAGTAAGGCTTAAAGAGGTGAGGTGATGGAATTATTGAATAAGTCTCAGAATAGGAAGAGATTTGAAAGTCATTTTATTCAACTGATATCTTTACAAGAGTACTCTCTAGAATAATAGTAGCTACCATTGATAGAGAAGGACTCTTACCAAGTTGTCCTCCTGCCTCTGCTTGAAGGTCTTCAGTGAGGAGAGACAAATCACTTTCTGGGACAGCCCTTTCTACTTGAGGTTGGTTCTAATTATTTTAAAAATTAAATAATTTTTAGTTTTCAACATTCACTTCTATAAGATTTTGATTTCTAAATTTCCTTCCCTTCCCCTTTTCCCAAGACTGTGCAGTCTGATATAGGCTCTGCTTATACATTCATATTAAACATTTTCACATTAGTCATGTTGCAAAGAAGAATTAGAACCAGTGGGAGGAAGCAAGAGAAAGAAGAAACAACAACAACAACAAAAGAGGGTTAGCTTTAATTATTAAAGAGTTATTTTTTTACATCAAGTCAGAATCTGGCTCTCAAAATCTGCCACTCATTGCAAGTCCATTTTAGCTGTTAACATTGAAAATAGCTATGATTTTCTCCATAAATCTCTCATGACCAGACCTGATGGCCCTAGTTTTTTCATCTTTATTTGTCATTTTTTTCATTCTCATTATCCTATTTGCTTTCTTATGGAGCTGCTCCATTTTTGTCAGTATTTTTCCTAAAGCATGGCACTTAGGACTGAACATACTACTTCCCTTGTAGTCAGATAGTGGCAGAATACAGGGGCCCTTTCACTTGCCTTGTTTTGGATATTGTGATTCTGTTTATTCAGTCTGAGAGCCTAACAGTGCTGGTTTTGGAGTCAGGAAGACCTGAGTTCAAATTCCACCTTTGAAGCTTGCTAGCTACAAGATAAACTACATTTTAATGTAATTTGTGAGGTGTAAATTCATCCCATGGACATGATAGAGTATAAGTCTTATAAAGATTTGCATATTATGACTTGCAGGGATTAGGACATCTTATGTTCTGTGTACTGATTTTACATGCTATTTGAAATAGTGGGACAATTGAACTTGGCTAATAAACTCTTACATTTATGTGAAAACCTAAAAGAAAAAAAGAAACTTGGTAGCTGTGTGACTGTGGGCAAGTCACAGCTTGTCACAGAATATCAGTTTCCTCATTTACAAAATCGTGCCCACAGGAAAACACTTGTTAGGAAAATTCTTTGATTTGGAAAGTGAGGCTATTTGAATGCTAGCAGGGGCCACTTTAACTTGCTGCAGGGAAGTCACTTTTATTATCTGTCCATCTGGTCTCCTTTTAGCCACAGAAGCTGCACACGTGTGAGCTAGTTAAAAAACTTAGAGTATCTCAGATATTTGCGTTGAACAGCAAGGGAGAGCTTTTTTTTCCCCCTGCTGTAAGGCAAACCTTTCGAATGTTACATTTTATAATGTGTAGGGGTTTTTTTTCCTTTTCTTTTCTTTTTTGGGTTAATATGTAGAATTTTAAAGATGGTGGAAACGATACAGCAATCATAAAATTGTGTAATTCTGAGAGCAATATTTAAAAATTCTCAGGAGAAGGTTTACAGTATTGAGAATGAATTAAATTTAAATGTAGTTTACATTAAATATCGCTTGAAATATCTGTATCTTTCTTTACACTGCAAAAAATCCAAACCCCATGGGATGATTTATAAGATGGTTGGGTTGTAAGCTGTGACCACTTTTCTGATTGTTATTTTGGATGTTAATGTCAATGTAAATAAAGGTTTTTATTTAAAGCTGGGAAAAAAAAGTGCCAGTAATACCTGTGCTGCCTACCATATGGAGTTATTGTAAGGCTCAGAGATAATGTCAGTAAAACAACTTTACAAAGTTGAAAGTCCTGTATAAATGTCTGGGATTATTATTGGAACTCGTATGTTACATGTCTCACTGTTAAATCAGAACACATTAGGAGGACAGCTCTTTGGGGGCTCTACCAGAGACTTTTTCCTAGGTTACAGTTACTTTCTCATTGGGTCTGGTTATTTAACCAGTTCTTGAA